ATGTCTGAACATCAAATAGAAAATAAAAAAGATTAAATACATTATTTTAGATGATAGACAAGATAAATGAAAAAAATCTCAACAATTTTTAGAGTTGTTAGCAAAATTCTCCTTTTGAATGCATATTTGTCCACTGCTTTAGCCATAGAAAATAAAAGGTCATAACCATGGCAAGTTACTTAATACTGTTATTGAACTAACTATTCCTGTAATTCATGTATGTTAGGAAGAATCTTTATTTTTTCAATTTCCTTCATTGACTTCTTTCCCTAATATTAAAAGCACAGATATTTTAATTTTTTAAGCTGATGAGAATCTATCATTATATTTAAACCCCATTTTACAAATTAGGATTCTGGGACTCAGAGAGGAGAATTGATTTGTTTAAAGTAACATAGCTAATATACACAGCTGAGTTTGGTTAAGAAGAAATGTTTTGGATCCCCAAACCCATTATTTTCTATATGGGTCATTTTCTATATTTTCAAATATGTCCTCTTCCCATTAATCCCTATGGTCTTTTGCCATTCAGAATGTACAGATCTTTACTGACTACTTCTAATCAACTCATTGCTTACATCTCTAGATATTTCTTGGCTTTCCTTGTTGATTCCCACCATAGCCTGGTGTCATGCACAAACAATACATGTGTTGTTTTCTACTAAGCAAGTCAATTGAATGAGCCCCAGAGCCCAAGACCAGCTGCTAAATTGACTAAGTGAATATTAGCACGGTAATAATACTTCTTTAAATGCTGGGTTTAGAATCATTTATTTGACCCCCCAAAAACTACATGATCTAAAACTTTATTTTCTTCTGTAGATGAGATACAGTTCATTTGGATTCTTGCTCAAGTCAACATAGGATCAGAAGATTTTTCAAGTAAAAATAGACTTTACCTAATGTTGCCCCTTGATCTCAGTAAACCTACAGTATTGTATAAGATTTGATTAGCCAGGTAGGAATCATCTTTCCAAAGGAAATCTTATTGTTATCCAATTGCTAATTTGTATTCAAGAGAGAAAGCATACAGGTCATCTTGTTTGATCCTTATTTATAAATTCTCAAGACTCTTTCATTTTGACTACTTTGTAGTAATTAATATGCTTGTACCCTCTACTCTGAGATTACTTAGAGCATTTCAGAATGTTAGCAAGTATTTCTTTAAATGTGTTTATTTTTCTTTAATTTTTGCTTTATTTCTTTTTTTTTTTAAAGATTTTATTTATTTATTTGAGAGAGAGAATGAGAGAGAGAGCATGAGAGGGGGGAGGGTCAGAGGGAGAAGCAGACTCCCTGCTGAGCAGGGAGCCCAATGCGGGACTCGATCCAGGGACTCCAGGATCATGACCTGAGCCGAAGGCAGTCGCTTAACCAACTGAGCCACCCAGGCGCCCAATTTTTGCTTTATTTCTGATAGAAAAAAGGTAGATGAGAGAAAACCAGTGAATCTTGTCAGTTTCAGACCAACATTTCAATAGTACTGAAGGGCAGTAAAGTAAAAGCGCTGTACTGGATTTTTATTCAAGAACACTGATCTTAAAGTGGGGGCATGAGGTGTTCTTTTTCTGTACAAATTCTTGACTAATGTGTTTTTTATTAAAGCCAGATGGGACTAAGAGTCTAAACTTTGGTAAAAATTATCACTTGTGCCCATCAGCATTTTTTTCTGCTTCCCCAAACTCAATTTCTTGTTTCCCATTTCAGCATCTTCCCATTTCCCCCCTCCTACCTGATTTCAAACTGCACTTATTTTATTTCAGCTACCTCTGTTAATTAGTTAATTAAGAGAGGGAAAGAGTGGGGGGAGGGGTAGAGAAAGAGGGAGAGAGACAATCTCAAGCAGGCTCCACACCCAGCGCGGAGCCCTATGCAGGGCTCAATCTCACAACCCTGAGATCATGACCTAAGCCAAAATCAAGAGTCAGACACTTAATCCACTGAACCACCCAGGCAACCTCAGCTGCCTCTATTTAGAAAAGATTAATTTAATTATAGGAACTTTGGGAATCAAAATATTACCTTATTGAGCTATGTTGGCATGTTTGAAAAGAGGCTTTTAGAAAGGGAAAGATTTAATCCAAGGAACAGAATCTTAAATGGTTGAATTTTAGACATGGTAGTGCATAGATGGACTTTCTGGGGACAGGGACAGCCAGGGATGCTGGAATTGGAAGGAGTAGGATCAGAGGGATCTTCTCAAGGTACCAGCATTTGTGCTTTATAACATATGGCTGATTCTTTCTCCTCCTATATACCTATAGATTGAATTTAAACTTTTGAGAACTATTCTTAAATTCAACTCATTCTTCTGATGTTTCAGTATATTATCTGGACAACTATCCACATAAAGATTTATATATACTCCCTACATAAGAACGAAATATATGGGACACCTGGATGGATCCTGGGTGGCTCAGTCGGTTAAGCATCTGCTTTCAGCTCAGGTCATGATTCGGTATCCTGGGATCGAGCCCCACATCGGGTTCCCTGCTCAGTGGGAGACTGCTTCTCTCTCTGCACCTCCCCCTGCTCGTGTTCTCTCCAGCTCTCTCTCTCTCTGAGATAAATAAGTAGAATCTTAAAATTTTTTAAAAAAGTACTAAAAATAAACTTTTATTTACTATAGGATCAATTTTCATGTGAAATTCTATGGTAATTATTTGCCATGGAACCATTGTGTTTTAATATACCATATATTTACTATAGAACCACTTAGGTTTTAGTATAGCCCCCTTACCTCAATTCTTTTAAGTCTTCTGAATTTATTGTCTGCAAGGGTTTTTAAAATGTGCCAATGTTACCATTTTGATTTACATGCTGTTGTAAGGTGTTTTAATTAAAGGCACACCACACATTCTCTAATTCCTCCAGTCACATCTCATTTCCCTGTTCACATGTCTGAGAATCAGCTATGCAAAAAGTCACAAAAACAGTGCAGCTCACCCTGTTGACTTCCACTATCTCGCATGGACATGTTCTTGGGAAGTATTATACATTCCATTTTGGGTAACTAATTAAATAATTTTATTATGTTGTATACTTTAGGGGTAGATGATTAGAGTTCACTTACTGTAAAAACTGATGGTTAGTTTCCTGCCCATCATTTGCTAATTTTAGCTCTTGGTAAGATGGCACAAGATTCATACAGCTGAACTCACCTTAGAAGTCACTCAACATTTCGTCCTTTTTCTACTCCAATTGCTTTCATTTTGCTTCTTCTTCTTCTTAAAAGACTTTGCTTCAGAATGGAAAACTCTTTCTAAAACATGTAGCATTTATTGCCCTATCCACCATTAAATCAAAACCTGAGAGGCAATCCATGCCTAGTACATTCCCCAAAGATAGTACAGTAAAGTCTTCATTGACTGGAGATGATCAAATCATGTTGATGGACTATGTGTGTGTGTGTGTGTGTGTGTGTTTAATGTAACTGTCTTCTATTTTAACAGCTACATTTACTATAAAGAGAGTCTGTTAAGCTGGTGTCCTTGGTGCTCCTGTTCTTAGCTGAATATATACAACAGACTCTCAGCAAAAGAAATCCAGAGCATATAAAGCAGCAGAAAATACCAATTTCACACAAACTAATTGGATCATTTTCTACATTTTTAAATATATAATTTATTTCAACTTAGTACTATATTATCCTATAGAACTCGAGTTGTTATCAACTATTTTGTTTCCAATTTCCCTGCTATGTTTTATACTAATGGACAATTAAATATTTTTTCTACTAAATCATGTAAAGAATATGATGAATAGGAGTTCCAAGGCCACTAAATTTAGAGAATTTTTTATCTAGTATGTACAATTGTAATACTGTCAGAGATTTTGTAGAGATAAAGTATATACTATATTAAGAATATCAATACCCTAATGGTTCTTGGTGGGAACATTAGTTGGACCCCTTTACATATAATACAATTATTTTAAGTAGTTAATTATTTTCTGTGAACATTTTATTATGTCAATAGCTATCCCACAGTATATGTGGTTCATTTGTACAGTTCATGATGGTGTTCCTCAGAAAATGAGGTAAATAATTATAAAGAAACCTGAGCAAATTTTATGAAATCCGATAGATGCTTTTCTTAAAACTGTTTTGGAACCAAGTCATCCTCAGAGCAGTGATGGAAAGTGCTAGAAAAAGTTGTAAACCTTCCATTGTATGCTTTTTCTTTTCATAAAATCACCCAATTACTTAATTGGAAGTAGTTTAATATCTCATGTGATTTAGATTGAGCGTTACATATTTTCCTTGAAAATAATTGTTTGTAATGCCACGTTCTCCATGAATTCAGATCATGCACTGCATGCTTTTAAATGACTTGATGTCTTTGCAGATCTAATTTTGGTGTATTTGTATCTCAAATAATTCGCCAACTCAATATTTTGGCTTAGCAATCCAAATCAAATTGTGGTCCAAGTAGCAGGCACTCACATCGAATGTACAGAGACTTGACAAGCAATTAGCAATGAATATTTAAACGTCTTCATTACCCTTGCATGAGGAATGCAGATGGCATTTAGGGAGATGGCAACCAGAGGGCACTACTGTGAATTATGTTTCTATCAGTTGGTCACCTGACTATTGGAAGACTTTCTCTGGGCCCCATGCCACTCCTATACTTCTACTGTCTGGCTAAAAATAAAGGCATTCCAAATGTTGTAAAACAGGTTGCTTTTATGAAATTTCTCTGCACATTTTATGATTTGGGAAGATTGTCTCCAAGGATCCCTGCATATACCCCTGAGGCATACCAAACCCAAATGCCAAGACTGTATAGGGGATTCTAAGAATCAGAGTTCCTTCAAAAACCCTGCTGATCATTTGCTGATCAATTACCTCAGCATAATGTGCTGAATGTGCAAAGGTGACTAAGTCAACGTTCTGTCCCTTCCAGAAGCTAATGTATTATATATGGCCCAAGAAAAAAATGTCTTTGAATAATTATAATTTCCAGATTGAGCTCTCATTATAAATTTCTTTTTTTAAGGAAAAAACAACACTGGAGAGTCTGACTCAGCAACTGGCAGTTAAACAGAATGAAGAAGGAAAATTTAGCCATGCCATGATGGATTTCAATATGAGTGGAGATTCTGATGGTTTGTGAAAATTGTTCATGTATATTCTGATAGTGTGCATACGTGTCTATTTAGTGCCAGTTAAAACTAATAAAAAGTCTATAAGACAGCCACCTTATACCTGGTCATTACAATAAGGGCTCACATGTACTGAGCAGTTCCCATGTGCCGAGCAATCTGCTGAGGTCTTTGCATAAATCATCTCATTAATTTCTAGCACAGCCTGTGAGATAAATACTATTACAAATGAAGTATTTGTAATATTTGGCCCTGGGAATTTTGAATCATTTTTCTCCAAGATAACAGGGCTGTGATTACCAGAGGCAGGTCTTGGATTCAAGATGGCATGATTCTGAAGCAAATACTCCCAGTCACTGCCAGACTTCTCTCTCACTTCCCTATTTCTTGTACCCAAAGCAAACTATTCGGAAACTTGGTCTACAAGCTCATTTTCAAGTTTTCATTTGTCAAACTTTGACCAGAATACAAGGCTAAGCGGACATTTTCAGGAGACACACATATATATGTGTGTGTGCGTGCATGTATATTTGCACTTTGGAACCCTTCGCTCTTATACTGTCTACCATTCAGTCAAGTGTCCTCCCTCCCCTTTATAACCCAACTAGAACACCAGCTGCATAACCTCATGCTTTCTTCGCGTGCCTCAAGACTTCTGTTGTCTGTATCATCTCTGAACATTCTAAACATCCCCAATGACAACTAATTAAATTGACACTAATTTTAATAGCACAGCAAAGAGAGAAAAAGAAGAAAGTGCTATTCCTCTTACCTTGAGCTGCAGCTGGGAACCTCCCTCCTGTGTCAAGTGCCATATATGCATTTCGAGAGCACTGTCCTCAAATTTGTTACTATGGGAGAGAAAGTCCCCTGCATATAGAAAAGACTGCCCCAGAGCAAACCATTAGAAAGCATACTTTAGGACCGAGGAGATGGCCTTGAGTTCCCCAAAATACATAGTTGTCTACTCTGTGCTTTGGGCCAGTTCTACTTTTAGGTGCAGTTCTACACTAGCCAAGAGACTAGCCAAACTTGAGCATGTAGCCAGGTAATTTTATCAGAACTGAATTTTATTCAGTTGGATATCCAACCAAAGTCAGTGTTTTCCTGGCCTTTGGGATCTAAACACTTCCTTCTCTTTTCTACATCACTTAGCTAAGATAAATGTGGTCTAAGTACATATAAAGAGCTTGTTTAGCTTTGATGAAGTTGCATAATGTTCATTTTATTGCTTATGTTGCTGTAAGGTGTAAGAACAAGAAAAAGCAGATGTGCAAATGATCATTTGCTGGTTACAAACCCATTTCAGAAAGATGTTGCCATATATTAGCACTCATTTTTGTCAATAAAAAGACAATTACTGGTAATAACACATTTCATAAATTTTAAGTTGTATTAGCATGATAAAATATACCCATAGTAATCAGCATTAAAACATCAAAACTTTGTTGCTGTTATTTGTTAAATTCAGTCATGCTTGTATGCAAAACATTTTCCAATCTTCATCAGACCAAAGAGCATACTATGAGTGAGAAATAATGAGAAACTCCACCACCAGATATGCTGTGTTTCTGTTTGCTGCTCTAGAAGTCTTCAAGTCTGGGTAATTTTGGTTGATTTCTGTTCCTTCTAATTGAGAAAAGAGAGGAAGAGGTGTCTGAGGGAAGGAAAAAAAAAAAAAAGCAATGCTTTAATTAAAGATACAAGTTCTAGAAATGCCCAAATTATTTAAAAATTTTATATGCTACCAAAATACATCTCTTCCATATTTTCTAATGATAACCCTGGAAAACTTGTTCATGTATATTCTGATAGTGTGCAGACGTGTCTATTTAGTGCACAGTTCTGTGCTTCCTTCTGCTTCTCCTGATTCTCTTTGCCTAACTCGAGGATCTCTGGAAACTGTTTAATCTGGTGAAAGTATTCTACAAAGTCACATGAAGCCTAGAGGAGGGAGGGCAGCTCCCAAGAGTTCTACTGTGGCTCTTGGTTATGTTTTATCACCTTGAGTCTTGCTGATTGGGAAGGAACTTTCAGTGGGTCTCTGGGTAACTTTAGACATGAGGGAGAAAATTCAGGGGAATGAATATATTATTTGTTTCACCTTAAATATGTGGCTGTGGACTTTTAAAGAAACCATAGTAGTGTAACTGTTCTTTTTTTTTTTTCCCCTACCATTTTCAGAGATCTTCTAGGGAGCAGGCTATCATTAATGCATCAGTATATTTCATGTATTTATTAGCACAAAATTGCAAAGAAAAGCCAAACACATGACAGAAGAATTTCTATATTGTATTTTAACCTCAAATTTTAATTTAGCCGCATTTTTATTTATATTACCTCAGAGAGAGGAAAAGGGAATGGCTACTGAGTATTCTGACCATCTTTAGGTAACAGAGACACATCCTCACCTGTGGTCATCCATCGTGCCAAACAGATCAGTGTTTCACAATTTTGTGAGCTTCTCCACCTATTTAATATTTCCATGGTACCAGCATGCCTATTGGTATGCCCCAGCTATTCTCTTTCCAATTTGCATCAAAGATTACATATTCAAATTTCTTTTGTCCTCTTGAAAGAAAATGGTGAAACGGTCCATAGTCCATCGATAAAAAGGAAAAAATATATTAGAAATGGATTAAAAATACAGATACGATAATTGCCACCACAGAGCTTATCACAAAAACTTCACGAACAAGCATCTGTCTCAAGAACTGGAAGTACCATTATCAGATGTACTTTTTATATTCATATTTCAATAGACTAGAATAGATATTTCACTAGACAAATATTCAATAGCAATACAAAGAAGAGAATTACCAAAGGTCTTAACACTCACACGAAGCAATGTTCCCTATTTTTAGGAAGTGCTGGAGTCTCAGAATCAAGAATTTATAGAGAATCCAGAGGGCGTGGTAGCAATGAACCCCACATAAAACGTCCAATGAATGCCTTCATGGTGTGGGCTAAAGACGAACGAAGGAAAATCCTTCAAGCGTTTCCCGACATGCACAACTCCAACATCAGCAAGATATTGGGTAAGAAATGTATTAATGATTATGTGATGCATGGAATAAATTTACAGCTCTGTTTTCTGCAATTGTTGAAAGGTACCGGCTTTAGAGGCCAGGCAGTTCATGTGATCTGCTTATCTAAAAAATAAGCATCATTAATTGAGGCTTTTCTTCCGATGACGAAGCATTTCATGTTTGTTGAGAAATGTGCCCAGTTTCTATAGCTTATTTAGTTGTGTGTCTCCATACTAATTGTTGTAATATTTTCTCTTCTTTAAGATCTAGAAATATTTTGTACCAAGACTAAGAAAAAAGTTCTTTTCCTATGAGCTACTTGGTAATGGGATTGACCTTTGAACTATAGAATTCTTCACGTGGTAGGGATGGAGGTAGAGGTGATGTTTGTTCTAGTACTGTAACTGAAAATTAGATTGTCAGGACCCAAGAAGATGGGCCGTGTGGGGCAATTTTTGATTTATACTTTTAGTAGCCTTAAGCAGATTTTCAGCATCTTTTTATTTATATTTTATTTTTTAGAATTACTGTTCTTTTTTAATTAACATATAGTGTATTATTTGTTTCAGGGGTCCAGGTCTGTGATTCATCAGTCTTACACAATTCACAGTGCTCACCACAACACATACCCTCCCCAATTTCAGCATCTTTTAAGAAGGGACTTTTCCTGTCATTTCAGCTTTCAGCTTAACAGATAAAGTACATATTTTCCTTATGTACAAAGACACTGACACACACAGAAGAGATCGTGAGAGGTAAAGGTAGTGATTATAAAGAGACCTACTATATGCCAGTTTAAGTCCCAGAAAAAGGAAGGGAAGATTCCATTTCTGTTGTGCTGTTCACTTGACATCGTCATCATCTTCTTCATCTGCAGATAGTGTGATGGCCAGCTACCAGATAACCTAAGCAAATTTTGATTATTTATTCTCTGACCTAAACAACAAAAGAGAATAGGAGCACCTAACTCTGAATTTGGGCTTCAACAAATAAGTAACATTTCTCTAAGTTATTAAAGCTTTACTAAAATCCATAATGCACTTGGAATTACACGTACCTAATGCAAGTAGGTGTCCGTTTTGTTCCTTTACATTAAGGAACTGATCATCTAGAGGTAGTTACTAAACATACACATGTGTTTTTATGCTCCCATATTCTCAAATGCTCATATCTCTGAGCGGAAATATGTGCTACCCAGTCCACAGCATGCATTTGTAATGAGACCAAAACAAACAAACAAAAAAACATTAGCCACTTGAACTTAGGTCTCAGTTTTCATCTAAAATGATTTTGAGATCTTTAAATGAATGTTATCTCAAAAGATAAGAGTATGTGAAGCCTAGAAAATATGAATATTTATGGATAAAGGAAATGCACAGTTTTTACATTACCATCTCTGATCTATTTTTCCTTTTTATGACCATATTTCAACTTCCATATGAAATTTCCCATTTTTTAAAAATATCATACCTGTTCCATTTGGGAAAAACTCTAGGAAAGAATAAAATACTTTGTGTAAGCATATTCCATATCTTAATGTATCAGTTATCACAAAATTAGAAATCCCAAAATGTCAAAATGAAAAAACAAACTGAATACTAAGATTGTTTAAACTGTCCTTGTATCATTCAATTCCTGTGTCTGAATATTGGAAAAGTGATAGTCACTGATTAAAACTTTATCCTAAGTATAAGGGAAATACCAGTTTTGATGATGTGAAGTACTTTAGGAATGCAGCAAAAGATTTTATGGGAAAGATGTGACTAGCTACAAGCATTTCTTCCTGGTTTGAAGGAAAGAATATTAGAATGACCATATGATTATATCATAATGGGCTACATGAAAAAGAGTGCTGCCTAATTTTAGACTTTTCAATAGAATTGTGCTCATTAAAGATATAGCAGGGAAAAAAAAAACACTGAGGTGTTTGGGACCTCAATATTTGGTCATAGCTTCAAACAAATAAGTGATCTTCAAATACCCACAAGATCATTCTAACTGGCCCATTTCATATAAGAGTACAAAGAAAGCTTGATGTTTTCCTCTTTACTGATTGTTTTGGATAACAGCCTCCGACAGCATGCCGCTAATTCATTCTGCTTAAAACAGGCGCTTGAGCTGGGTTGACATTTTACGTAGTCTCTGGGGATCCTAGTTGACATTTTAAAGGGCTTCTAAGCATTTTATAATACCCTAAAATCTGGTTTTAATAAGCCATTCTGCTGAAATTGTTAACATAAGGAATCACCTTTTACTGTTTGGCGCTAGATCAGGGGATGGGGGACATCTTTTTCTGATTAGATATACAGTAGTTGGAGTAAAATGTGCAAATTCATTACAGATCCCATGGAGATGACAATGCTGCTCAGCTCAAACTCTTCATTTTTATTGTATTGCCAGATATAGAAAGGAAAAGAGTACTCTCAAGACTTTTTTTTTTTCTTCTTATTTTGAACATCAGATTTTTCGAATGAATCTTCCTCTTTGTCATCAGGGGGAATACCCAGATGTCCTCTCCGTTTTCCATTGTAAAAGGCCAGTCTTTTGAAAAATGCAGGGAACTTACTCCCTGTACGTGGTCCAGGGTAAGCAGTCAGCCCCACCCAGATCAAGTAGACGTTTTCCTCTCCTTTGGAGAGAACTAAAGTGCTCATCTAGTGTGTCTCAGGGTTCACATCGTAGCTATATACAGTGGATGCTGTACCTGCAAAACCATTAAAACCAAAACCAAACTTGTCATTTGGTTAACCCTATTCAAAAGTTATTGAAAAATGAAAACTGCATTTACCACCAAACCGAAACACTCTTTGTCTCCACTGTCATAAAATGGAATAGTTAGCCATTTTGCCAGCTACAGACAATGCTTAGGCTACCTTAATTCTTCATTTTAAAAAGACATCACTAGGATATGGCCATCTTTTAAAATGTAATTTAGGATACAGGGATATTTCCAGAGAAATTATATTAGCAAATGTCTAAATATTCTGTGATTCCAGTACATGCCAGATTTAGAAGCCAACTTGTCTGAGAATTTATACATCTTTTATTTTAGATAGATAGATAGATAGATAGATAGATAGATAGATAGATAGATAGATCTTTATTATCTTTACATAAATATATATCTTTTATTTATTATATATATATGTGTATATATGTGTGTGTGTGTGTATATATATATATATATCCCTTTTTCCTCTGCATTTCAGCCAGATCGACTTTAAGTTCCTCTACTCCCCCTTCCCACTTGACCATTCTGTTCTTCCTCCATAGAAAGCTCTCCCTTTCTGATTCTTATAGGAGTCATTTCCACAGCAAAGCCTTCCCGACCTACAAAAGATTGATCCCAACTCCTTAGCTTCCTGTACATTCCACAATTGTAATTAAAATAATAAATTTTTTAATTAGCAGCTTGATGTATTTCTTTTCCACTGGAATATGGCCCTCAAGAAGATAAGGAACATAATGATTTACCACTGCATATCCAGTAATTAATACAGCATGATGCACACAGTAGGAAATCTAAAGAGTCATCACATTCTGAGGCAGGTTACTATGAGGCATAAACATTCCTTTTCCTTAGAGAAATGTATTCTTTTTGAGCTTATAGAACATTTAGACTTAGAGAAGAACCCTTAGCAATTCCTATTCTAATTGAGAATGCTAATTTCTTTGTTCTATCTAGTGATAAAGATAGGGAATTTTAATGTATTTCTTTAATTCTTAAGTAAATTATTTCTGGTAAGCTCACTTTTGCACTCCCGAATCTGAGGTTCAAAATCTGTTGTACATACTTGTAAGAAACTTCCCAAAAAGAATTGATCTAGTTCAATAGTATTATAGCTTTATCTGTATTTATATTTGCCCTGAGAATAACAATGTTTTCCAATACCTCTAGAGAATAATGTTGGGCAATATAGAGTTTGAGATTGTACCTACAAATTATTGGACGTGGCTATTTAAACACAAGTTTGAGAAAGGAACAGAAAAACAACCTCTATTATTTGAACTGTAACTTGGATTTCTGTAGTAAATAGAATAAAATCATATTGGCTATCTAGATTGGAAAAAAATCTGTTTATAAATTTTTGTAACACCTGCATGGATATACCCACCCAGGCAACATCTGTTCTAATAGGAAAGAATTCTAAGGGAAGAGTATCGTCCCTTCTACTGTATTCCTTTAATACATGTAACAGCCCATATTGAGGAATTGTCAGCATTTGTAGGGAAGAACTGTTCATCGGTAAACTATTTGCATTTGAGATATGGAATTATGGTTGAGTAATGAACCCATTTGAAAGCCTTAAGAACTTGCTTAGATGACTTTGGAAGGCAGGTATAGGCTTCCGTACCAGAACATATTTGGTAGGGAACTCCCAATTCCAGTTATTTTGGTCTTTGTGCTTTTGGGTAGAGTTGAACTGTTTACTTGCTGATAAACACACTTCATCCACAAATAGATTCTCCTCACATGCTTAATAAAAAGTCATCATTATTACCACTACTTCTCTTACTACTACACATATCCACAGTAATAGAACCAAATCTTTAAATCACATTTATATTGAGAATTAGCATCATTATTTTTTTGAAAAGTTTTTTTTATTATTATTTAATCACCATACATTACATCATTAGTTCTTGATGTAGTGTTCCATGATTCATTATTTGCATGTAACACCCAGTGCTCCATGCAGAACATAGCATCATTATTTTTAATTAAGCTGCAAACATTTTTGTGTGTGTGTGATCCTAGTTGAATCCAAACCAAAATCAAAAGTGAAAAGAAGGGGAGAACCAATTTGGATTACCAATTTGGATTAATATTATTAATGCATACTGTATCGCAAGAAATGACATCTTTATATATTATTGAAAGTGATTTATTAAGAGAAAAATCTTACCCCATACGTACTTATTCTTGTAATTCTGACGTCCACTAGGTCATAGATAGCAGGTGGGTTTGGGTATCTAAAAACATACATTGTAGCATATTCGTGTTCAATTACATCCAACCTGAGTTTGAGTCACAGATTTGCAATTTAATAGTTGTGTGACCTTGGATAAGTTACTTCATCTATTTGAACTTCAATTTTCTCATCTTTGGAAATAGGTATAAATGTAAAACTACCTTACAGGATTCCAGTGAAAGGTAAAAATGAGACAGCTTATGTAAAGTTTTTAGCATAGTATCTAGCACACAATAGTTACCCAGTGCATGTTCATTTATATAATTTTTTGTAATTAAAGTTTTAATGAAATGAATTTTTAAATGCAACCATTCATGAAAGCATACTTAAACATTTTGAGGAAAATTTTATGTAATATATGTTAGAAATTATATGTAATATATGTTAGGAACCTTGTAGTAAGTAATGTGCCCCCCACGTAAAAATACTCAGTAACTAGATAATTAGCCACAGATTGAAAATGTATAAGTTTTTGCAAAACGTTTCATTTCACAGTTGACATATCGTGGTCTAATGTGGAAACGAAAGGTATATTCTTTAAATTTAATCTGTGAGCTTTTAAATGTATAATATACATGGTTGGCTACATTGTTAATTCCAGCCAGAAAAAAAAAAAAATAGATCGCCCCACCTTTGTATCTTTGGGTACATAGTTTCCTTAAGGACACAGCTGGCAACACCGCTGTTCTTGTGGGATCTCACCTCATGAGTCATAGTTCGCTAATCAAACACATTTTTATGTATTTCTGGGTTTGGGCCAGCATTTTTACTGTAGGTTTTCTTGTTCTCAGCGTTATCTTTTTAGGAACCTTCGCAGCTGTGCATATTGGAATCCTAACCTTCTTTTCCTCACAGGATCTCGCTGGAAAGCTATGACGAACCTAGAGAAACAGCCGTATTACGAGGAGCAAGCCCGTCTCAGCAAGCAGCACCTGGAGAAGTACCCCGACTACAAATACAAGCCCCGGCCGAAGCGCACCTGCCTTGTGGATGGCAAAAAGCTGCGCATTGGTGAATACAAGGCAATCATGCGGAACAGGCGGCAGGAAATGCGACAATACTTCAATGTTGGGTATGGACATTTCAGTCATTTTTTCATGGGGAATGCTTCTTGTTATATACTTAATGGGGTGTGAGACATATTTGTTTTGCTGCGAGCCAGCATTTTGAAAAAGAACCTGAACTCAGTGTATTTTCAGAGACTAGACTATCCCCCACATGATCCTGAAAAAGAATATCTCCATATGAAGTGACTCCAAGGGCCTAAAACATTGGCTCTCCCATGAGCTTTCCTGACAACTGGCTGAAAGTAAATAGTTGTGCAGTTCATTATTAAAAACTGAGAAGTATTATCGGTTCTTGTCCTTGTTGGTGTTCGTTACTTCTAAGGCATCACATTGACAAGTTCGACACCATCCTTGTTTGAGATCATACATCATAAAAATGATTTCAAAAGAAATACTTGCTTCGGAATATAGAGGGATTTCTGGGCGATCAAGGCACACGTGTGGCCTTTGTAGATCCCGCAAAATGGAGATTCTACTTAGGGCACGACAAGGTTGTGAACGGGAAGGCTCACTTCTGGGGAATCAAGAATGTAGCTCCCAGGAGGTTTTACCCTGCTTCCTACAGTGAGCCTGGCTACGGTGTCCTATTACGCTGCCTGCAGCCTCATTGCTTCTGCAGAATTTTCTCAGAAAGCAGAGAAGTAAAGTTGCTCATATCTGGAACAGAAGTTAGTAAGATCCTGAGGGCTGCTTAGAATAGTAAATACTGTTCTGAAAATGGCAAGAGGATACCTTCAAAAAAAATTAAAAAGTTTAAAAGTCTGCCCTATCCTCATCTCTGGAAAGAGTCTGCCTGCTCTGATGAGTGGCCTGTGATTTACATCCCAGGGCATGAGTCTTCTCAGAGCTGAGCACGAAACCCAGCACTGACGAAATAGTAAACATATGAACGAATGAAGGAATGAATGATTGAAAGAAGGCATAAATGAGCATCATCTATTAATCCCTTCTCACTAAGACCAGCTACATAATTTGTGGAGCTCAGGGCAAAATGAAAATGTGGGGTTCCTGTTAAAGAGTTAAGAATTTCAAGACTGCGGCAGCAGAACTTTAAACCAAACATAGGGTCTTTCTAAGCCCAGGGCCTTGTACAGATGCAGAGCTGTCCACCCTGCTTCCTATCCCCACCAGCTATGGCAGGGACCAGGTGGGCAAAGTGATACTGTTCAGTTCTGGTTTTATTTTGAGTAATTTTAGGGGTTTTTTTTTCCATTAAAATTGCATTATCTTTAGTTTAATTATTTCTAAAACCTCTGGATGTTATAGTGAAGGAGACATGAACTTGGGGTCAAGTTCTTCTGCTTAATCTTTCTGCACCTCAGGGTTTTTTTTCTTCATAAGATAGTAATAAAACAATTATTTTAAGAATCAAATAGGTACCACATGTAAATGCCTTGTAATCTGTCAAGCACTAGACAGAAGTAAGGTATCGACATCACAGGAGGATGCAATTTTTTTAAATGTTGGGCAATAGGATGAGAAACACTATTTTAGAATTGGGCAAGCTGAACAGATTCGTTATACAGTAAAGGTTGCATGTGAGTATCCCCTCACCCACGGTCTTTTTTTTTTTTTTTTGGGTGGGGGGTATTCCTCTCTGCAGGCAACAAGCACAGATCCCCATCGCCACTGCTGGTGTTGTGTACCCTGGAGCCATCGCCATGGCCGGAATGCCCTCCCCTCACCTGCCCTCGGAGCACTCGAGTGTGTCCAGCAGCCCAGAGCCTGGGATGCCCGTTATCCAGAGCACTTACGGCGTGAAAGGAGAGGAGCCACATATCAAAGAAGAGATCCAGGCTGAGGACATCAACGGAGAAATTTATGATGAGTTCGATGAGGAAGAGGATGATCCCGATGTAGATTATGGGAGTGACAGTGAAAACCATATTGCAGGACAAGCCAACTGATAAGGGTCAAAAGATTGTTGTGACCTTAGGACTTAAAGAAGCCCTAGCTGGTTCATCCTTACCAGTGGCCAAGCACATTAACTTTCTCATACACTGACTGTTACTTTAACTGTTAGTCTTAAATAGTTGGGACATCAGCTGACTAATAGACCTCAGCCTCAAAAGGCTTGGAAAGGAAAAAAAAAATACAAGCAAACAACAATATCAACAACAAGAGATTGAAATAAGCTATGGGTAAAATAATGCCAGTAATTCAGCTGCTACATCCAAGCACTGAAGTCTTACCCGTCAACTTTTTTTTTTTTAATAAACTTTATGGCTGTTTGTTCTACAATGTTCTAGAAATTCTCACTCAGGTACACAGTGCCAACAAGTGGCTTGTGAATGTGTTTTGTTGTTTTGTGCTACAATTTTTAAAAAGAAGTAAGTTTTGTTTTGTTTTTTGGGGTTTCTGGGTTTTTTCCTTTTCTTTTTCTTTCCTTTCCTTTTTTTTTTTATAATGCACCTGACAGAAAAAAAGAAAGATGAATTTCTCTTTACTTCTCTCCACCTTCTCCATCTCTATACTTTAAAGATGGAAGTCTGTGCATGGGGGGGGGAAGAGGGAAAAAGAGCCTGTTTTTAACTTCCTTGCTATCCACCACAAAATAAGCAATTATTTTCTTTAGAGGACTTTCTTTATCTATTGCACACCACACTACATCTTTGAGCAAGTGCCAAATTTGTACTGAAGTGTTGACCCAGTTCCTTTTTTTTTTTTTTTTTCCTTTCCTTTTTCCTGTTCCTTCTTAAGTTAGGACAGTGTTATATCTTAGACAATCCCTTGAAAAACCTGAAATACCAGCAGCTGGTGAGATTTGACTTTTTTTTTTTTAAATGGAAACTGTAGGTGCTGTTCTCAGGTGAAAAGAGAGAGAGAGAGAGAGAGAGACATAAGAAATTTAGAGAAAAAATATTTTCTAATCTTGGATTTTTGTGTGTATGTATGTGTGTGATTATGGTACTAATAGGAATAACATTGAACCATTGTGAGTTAAACCCACATCTGGGGATGAAATCCCACATCCTCCTAAGTGACTGGTCTGGAAGCAACCTTGACCTTGACTTTGCACTTCAAATGACAACCAAGATAGGGCTCAGAAATTATATTTTTAAATTTCTAATACGATTATTATTGGATGGATCAGGCGGCCCTGTGTAATCGAGGTGTGCGTGTATAACATGGAAGCTACTAGCAAACTGTTCCCAGATGTCCCTTCTTCCTGGTCAGTTGGTTCCACTAATGTTTGCTACTTAATGATTTCTGTTTGTTTTCCTATTGATAACTTCGAGCAAAACAATCATTGTTTTCTTTGACTGTATTTGGCCATTTTCCAGAAACACAGAATTAGCTTATTTCTTCAACATTCCATTCTTTCCTGATCAGGAAATGGAACTGATGATTTTATAAGGTATTTTTCATCTCTCCATGAAATGAGGCAGAGGCCATTTGCATTTCACAATTGTGGGCCATGTGCATCCCATACCATAAAAAGCAGGATTTGATTAAAAGTCATTGCAGCCCGACAAAATGGAGCCTGGCTGAACCCAGTGATCCTCGCCACCACTCTTCCCTCGCTGTAAGATGAATCCACTGACGTCCGATTTTGGGTTCCAGCAGAGTATGTGCATAGAGCAAAACTGATGGTGACAGAACTGCTTATTTAGATTTTGCCAGCCAAATGCTAAGGCAGTCATAGGGCTTGTACAAATAAATGCAAAATCACTTAAAGTCAATTGCCATTATTTGTGCTGAAGTATCAGACAGTAAATACTCCAACCAGTAGCTTGGATGTGCTATGGTTTTCACTCCAGTCATCATTTTCCTACCCCACCCCTCAAACCTGACCCAAAAGTTTGATTTTTATATATAAATAAGAAAAAAACTCCTTTTTATTTTTCTCTCTCTCAAAAGACTTGCTCTGGGGTTTTGCTTGGAGGAGCTGATCATATCCTGCATGTCAGAGATTTTGTTTTGTTTTTCTGTTTGTTTTTGATGACTGTATTTTCATTTGAACTGCCTCTTTTTGCTAGTGTTGTAATGATGATGATGATAAAATAATAATAATAATAATAGTAATAATAATAATAATGGTCAGCTGTTCCCAGATTAGTAAGTTATGTATAATTTATTTCTCCCTCTCTATTTTATTCTCCTCTGATTTGGAAGTGCAGCCAATAAGCTGTTAGATATTTAAAACAAATTTCCATCTTCCAACTCATATATATATATATATATATTTATACACACACACACATTCACCCACACAATTTTACTTCGCCTTCAATAAGTTTTCTCCTTTTTAAAAATTTGGCCCCAACAATGTCAAGTTCTGGTGTTTCATACAAAGGAGTGAATAGGAGGGTCATGTTCAATCTTAATTAACTTATGCTCTCATCACTCATTTAGTTATTTAATTGCCACAGTCATCTAGAGCCAATTTTTGTTTTTGTTTTTGTTTTTAAGCACTCTGGATAAGGAAAAAAAAATAGACACTCGTTTTATATCGTTATTATGTACAATGTGAAAACAGATTTTTAAAAATTTGTTCTTCGTCTTTGTTAACAAATTCTTTCTGACTTATGTGGGTTCACCTCTCACGTTTGCTGGATACTTATTTTACACCACGTTATAAAGATGCTTTGTTTTCATTTCATGACTTTGGGCTACAAGAATACTTTGTTTTAGCTCCAGGTAGATGCCCCTGAGGGCAATCATGGCTGAAACCGATTCTAACACACTTACCGGTGAATTGACAAAACACTTCTGTTTGGTCTTTTTTTGTTTGTTCCTTATTTTGTTTCATTTGAAGGGGAAAGCGAAATTGTTAATGGTGACCCTTAACTGCTGAAATTCAGAAGTTAATTTTATTTAGTTAGGTTAATGTCAGAGAGGCTATACCGTGCCTGGACGAAAACAGGAAGTCCAGAACCCCGCGTTCTGTTCTCGTGTTCTGACATAGAATTCACTGGGTATCGCAGTTTCTTTGCCTTAGTTTTCCCCAGAAGAAAACAACAAGAAAAATTATACTGATGTTTAAAGTGCTTTGAAGTCATTTGATAAAAGGTGCTATGAATAGCAACTTAATGTGTTAACACATTGCCTTTTTGGCATTTGATTGGTTTATCATTTTTGTAAAGGATCCTAAAACCTTGTATTCTTTCTTTGTGCCCCATGATGATCAAAAAAGCTAAGGTAGAGGAAATGAGAGTAAGATCAAACTGAAATGAAGATAACATTTCCCTCCTCTATCCTTTCCTACCTCCCTGTTCACATATCCCTCTCTCTCTCTCTCTCTCTCTTTCTCTCTCTCGCGCGTACACACGCATACACACATGCACACACTCATCCCAGTACTGAGGAATAATCTTGCCTGAACTCTCATTTTATGGCTATTGTAATCAGTTCCTCCAGAAGTAGTCATGTTTTAATATGAATATAAGAGAACATCACTGGAGAAAATAGGTTAAAGTTGCTCATTTACAAGTTACTAATAATTTGGCTAGTTACTGCAATTGGATAAAATATAAAACTGTTCTTCAGTACGTTTATTAATTAGTTAAATCAATTTTTAACATTTATTTGGCATCTGCATTTAAAAGTTAACCATGTATAAAATCCCTCCCAAAGAACATAATTATTGAAACCAAATCCTCTTATAAGGAACGATTATAAAAGAGTTTTCTTTGATGAAATTATTTCATAGATTTGATTTCGGAGTAGACTTTTACCTTAATTCATTTAAAGAAAATTATCTTTAACTATTTTGTGGTCCCAATTTCATATATTTTCTTAATCCAGAAGTTGCCACTGTTCCCAGCAGAAATCTCTTTTATCACATTTAAAACATCAAAAAATAATGTTCATTCATTCTAATGGGTGAATTATTGAATTGTAACAAGCAACTGTATATTTGCAAACAGGTTTATAAAATATTTGTCTAGCAAGTTAATAGTAAAATAAAAATTATGGGGTCTGCAAGGAAAATTATGAAGCCCACTTAAAGTGGTTCAGATATCTCTTATAGGGCATAAGTTTTTGTGTAGACAGGCTTTTACAGTATTTAATTTTAAAGTTTCCTATAACTATCAGTTTCCCAAGTTGAAGATGATGTTGTGTTAAGTTTTCTACTGACTGATTCCTGTCCTTCCCAGTGTTTCTGTCACTGGTTCACTAAAACAGTATTTATACAGCTCCGCCGGCTCTAAAGTTCTTAGTCCTTCTAACATTTTGGATTTTACAAGTCAAAATGGGAAAAAAAAAAAAGTAGAAAAGAGACAATCAAATGCCTGGAGCTTAAAACAAAGTATGTGCAACCTACCATCTCACTTGAAATTTAATAAAATAAATAATTATGTAAATATAACATAGAGTTATAGATTTATATTTTGTTCATAACACATAGTGTAATATAAGTTGTATATTTTCATGTTTTTGGTTTTATGTTACCATTCATGCCACAATAAAAATAAAACAGGAGTTTATGTACTCTTAAAAAAAAAAGATGTGGGTTGCCACCAACCTGTTCTTTTGTTTGTTTTTTGTTTTTTGTTTTTGCATTCTCTTTTTTCAGTATTACTGCCATGCAAGGCACCAATAAAAACAGCAAATGTGTTCTTTACCTATTATACTGTGTTTCTTTTCACCATTCTTGTTATGAAGGTATAATCTTTAGTTTTATTATGGAAAGAGTAAAAGCACGGAAAATAATTTCATTTTCAATATAAATAACCCCGCTTCCTGAGGTGGACTTTGAACTGAGAGCTAAGGATTTAATTCTTAGCGGTGTACATTGCAAGAAGGGCCACCAGAACTTATGATAATGCATCTCATCATGCAGGGATCTAGCTTCACTATAATGTCAAAAGATATCGCTCTCATATGCAATTGAGTCTAATACTCTTTAAAATCCTACAGCCCGAAGCACTTTTAATGTTGTTTCCCTAAGTCTGATGCTATCATGGGGGCAGGGTTTCTACACTTTAAAATTACATTTTATCCTGTTGTTTGTATAGAAAAAAAATGTAAATTTCAGATTGTGAAATTACTAAGCACTATAACTAATATTTGCCTTGCTGGCATCTAATTTAGAATAATGGGTATTTCTAAATACCCATTAGCCTCTGGATTCTACCTTCAACTTTTTAAGCAAATGTGAAAAACGAGAAGCCTCCTTTCCTTCCGATGACCATTCTTGCTCGTCTTTTCCACCATATTATGTTTTTCTATCTTGATAGTTCTGTGTGTAACCGGTTCCTGTAGGGGTTTTTGTTTGTTTCCTTGGTTGGTTGGTTGCTTGCTTGCTTGGTTTTTAAGTAAGTACCAAGATGCTGGGTCAGATAGCATCTGGTTCAAATGAATATAAATTAAGTACATAAAGAGGATATACTCGAGTAACACTCGACCGGTTGTAGCCCTTAACTGAAGTATTTTACAAAGTCTGGTCCATGGACCACCTGCTTCAGAATTAACTGTTCAAAGTGTAGATGCCTGGGCGCGACTCCAGATGTAGTGAACCAGAATCTCTAGGGATAGAGATAAAGCTGTTGCTGTTTAACAGCTCCACGTGATTATGCGGCATGCGCTGGTATCTCAAAACACCCAGGAGGTGGGGCTATTTTCCTCTCCTATTGACTTCTGGCGTGTCAAATTTTGCAGATCCTGCGGCCTACCATCCTTTAACTTTCAGCCTCTGTGAAAACCTTGACGCTTAGGGTCAGTGAGTGGCGAGAGTTGGAGATTTGGAAAGAGCTCTCCTAGATTGCGTTTGATCCACCAGCGCCATGCTTGTACGTTATCCTCATTGCTCTGCTCTGTTCTCTGCGTTGTTCTTGAGCAAAGCAGGAGGCTTCAGAGACTCCCAAGTGAGCGGAACACTGAAAATATAACGGAAACTCACAAAGCTACAGCCACTTAGTATTTGCAAAACAAATTGAGGTTCTTTTGAAAGGAAAATAGCCATTGAAGAAGTGAAGAGATAAACATTCCATGCAGTGTTCATAATGGACCACCTACGGCTATGCTGGTCAGTCTCATCCCCTTACTTCAAAAAACAGCATTATCATAATGGATATGCTAACAATATGTGGACAGGGAAGATCTCGGCTGGTTCTGAAACCTGCTCCCTCAAGGGGTGAAGTCCCAATCACCACCCTCTCTTTCCTACCAAATAAAGTTCACTTAGTTTTGTCCTGTGGTACATCAATTTAGAAGCATTCTGTTCTTGGCCTTTACGTGTTTTTTTTGTTTGTTTGTTTGTTTTTTTTTTTTAGTTTCTTATGGAATATTTAGGACTAGCATGCAATAATGGATTGTTTTCTTACTGCCAATGCCTTGAACAACCAAAAAATACTGGCAATAGTGAAAAGAGACCCATTCTCTATTTTTTTTCATTTATCTCAAATTTGCCAATTTCAGTTGTTGGTGTTTTGAGGACGTTCACACGTGTGTTTTTAAGAAATCAGGACACTCATTCTTACCGAATTTTGAAGTTCAGCAGTCATCCCTATTTACAACTTAACACCATCATTGAAACCTCAGTTATAGCAATGGAGGTGAAGGTAAGCATGAATTAGACCGATGTCTGAGTTAAAGAATATTTATGAAAAAAAAAAGATTTATTTTTCTTGAGTTGCTGAAGCAACCTAGTAGCTAGCTGAGAAGAACTGTTTTATAAGTAAGCATTGTAATTAGTATGTAAAGTGTATGCAATAGTATTGCTAAAAGGTTCTTAAAAATAGTTATGTTTTCTTAAACAGGCTAAACATCTGTCCTACAATTTTGTTTGTTCTACCAATTTGCTTTTTATTTTTACCACCAAGAATGAACCAGTTCGGCTCTGATCACAATAATCATCATTTTTCAATTCGTCAGGTCCAGATTCATGAGATTTTACCCCCCCATTAGTGCCATTTTCTAAATACGCAGACGAATATGGAATGGAATGGTATTTTGTTGCTATTCAAAATATAACCAAGAGGATGAAAGCTGTTTTATCATTGATGTCTCTACTGATTCAATTTAAAAAGGAAAAAAAAAGAAAAACCAGAACTGTAGGAATTCAGTAGGCCTAAGTAAACACCACCATTTTGTACCTTGCTTGTTCAATTTAGTATTAAATTTCAGAGTCTGGAAAGCAATCCTAATTACACACAAACTGTAAAATATATTTGAAATAAAGTCTTTTGTTTATAAAAATCACTGTCATGATAACTTTTTTGATAAATTAATGTGGTCTTGATAAAAAGTTGGAGAAACTACCACAGGACATAGTTAGGTAATTAATGACTTACACAGAGGACTGACTTTATTCAACTTGCTCCAACACTGGCCCTCAGTAAGCGTTCATTTTCCCTTATATACCAAACCTACAACTGATTACAGCACAAGTTTACAAATTGTGGTTGCATGAACTTTTGTCTCATTCGGGACTATAATCATTACTAGTAGGCTCCAAATAATTACATAGCTTGTCCTTTTTATTTGGAAATGATCCTTCAAGCAACGTTGTCTTCTGCAGGGTTAACATACATGAATGGAATTAACAATCTGCTTTCTTATGGGCTGAGCTCATCTGACATCTGGAAAATGAAAAGAAATTGCCAGTGGTATAACATTTGGGCACAAATCCTAACTATAGTTATTGAAAAGAAAATTTTAGATTGTCCTCATTAAAGAGTTATCAATTTCTCCCTAACCTATTAATTCCACACATCTTTAAAGCTTTGATATTATAGTCTATTATGTCACCCAAATCTTGGGCTCTTGCTCATAAAATCCTCTGGTGGAGCTTTATCTTTGTCTCTTATTGTTCTAGTAAAATTTTAAAAGGCAATTTAATTTTTCAGATACTTCAAGATGCCCAAAGCTTATGTTGGCAAACCTTTACAAAGTTTTGGAAATTTTACCCTTTTCCTGTAAATTTTAAACACACAAAGCCTGAGCTTGTATCATGGAAAGATATTTAAACCTTTTTATAAATAAAAAAATATAAATCAGGAAAAATGAATGATAATCATATGAAGTTGTGCTAATGATTCAATATTTGGCAAATATTAAGTAAATGATGCTAAGTTGGTTCTCCTGGCAATAAAAAAGCCTAACCTTTGTCAAAGTTGATGATCCTCTGGCTCTCTAGTCCATCATATTGGCTTTATATAATTATATAGACTCTCACCCATTTTCAAAATTTGGTACGGCTTGTGATAAATATACAATTACAAAAATGTACAATTAACACATACCACATAAAGAAACAAGGGGTAAGGAGTAAGAATAAAAACAGATTACACATACACTCATGCAGCTCTGATCACTAAACAAAAAAATAACCCTTATCTTCATAGCAGTCAGGGCAAAGAAGAAACTACATGGATTAGAGAATTCTTATTGCTTAATTGAAGGAAGCATGGAAGTTTATCATGAGAAATAAACCTTCATTGCCCTAAATTCTTGGATGGATTTCACACTTAAAGGATAAGAAACAATGCAAAGAGCCACTTTTTTTGTAAGCAGATTTACAAAAGCTACAGATTTGTTTCCTATATGCTTACTCTATCAGTCCTTGAGAAGAGTTTTATGCAAACAATTTGCAGGGGGTCAGCGAGAGAGAGGGTATACATATGAATAGATAACTGGATATATGGATTAGACAAGGATTTACAAGGATAAAGCTGGAAGAATTGTGATTGTGATGAATATTTATCATGTCCCATAGACCAGCTTTTTCAACTATCAGATGTTTCAAATTGGCTTTTAATTATGCTATGTTCAGTATTATGATAGGTTTACACAAGACATAAAACAATATTTCTTCCCTCAACATTTATAATTTCCAAGGAAATAAGACTAGCATACATTAAGCAATAAAACAATATAAGAATACGATTAATGCATCAAAGACTATAAGTGATATGGGATTTCAAATGAGAATAAGAATCATTTTAATATTTACCGACACTTCGGCTTCTATATAAATGTAATAGGTGGTGAATGGCCACCCTCCCCCTGGAACAACTAGAAAAAGCTAGAAAATCACAAAAATTGTATTTTAAAGGCATTAGAGGAGAAAAATGAGACTATTGAACCACAATTCTAGAAAATCAAGACTCTGTCCTAGGTGAAGCTGATGGTTGCTAACCATTTCTATTTAATGAAGGCATTAGCAAATTCTGAAGGTTGCCATAAAAGTCTTGGCAGCTCCTGCGTGAAAAAGAGACCAGCAAAGTAGTTGTAT